CATGGAGCATCCTACAGTCCTATGTGCCACCCTAATACCATGCATGCATCTCCACCCCAAAGTGCACCTCCCTCCTCCACCCCAGCCCCTGTGATGGCTGGCTAAAGCCATGGCCTTTAGGAAAGCCAGGAGAAGGTAGTGGGGGCAGAGGGCCATGCTCTGGATGTGTCCCATCATTGGTGTCCTTCCAGCTGGGAACACCCAGGTCCCATCTCAGCACAGCAATTGGGGACGCAGGGCGATGTGCAGTGTGGTTGTGCATCCCCATGTCTGTGCCTCAGTTTCCCCTCACTGTGCACCCCGATTGCACCATGCTCAATGGGAACTGCTCCATCAGCTCTGATGGATTTGCTGAGTTGGTGTTTTCCTTTTAGCTGGAAGAGGAAATGTGGAGTTTGTTGCTTCTTGTGTTGAGAATCTTTCAAGCAGAAGATCAATACCCAGGCAGCCACCTGTGCGCTTTGTCAAAGCTTGGAGGGGCTGCGAAAACTTCTGCTTTTTCCTCATAGAAAAGGTTTTTTCAGTAGAATACAAATGCTCACTTATCCCATGTCAGATCTGCTTGTGTTTCCTCTGACAGCCCTTGCGGCCAGAAATTGGGTTTAATCCCAGTGGGGATGGAAAAGCCCAATATTTAAAAATTGTTCATTTGCTGGACGGGAGCTGAGATCATTAAGGGGGGGGAGGGAAATGTTGTAGGAAATCTTAGCGTGGAGGTTTGCAATGTGAGGAGGGTCTGTGCATTGCGGACAGATGGAGCCAGCAGGAGGGCTGTGGGGTGTGGGAGGCACAGAGCCACCCCCCTCCTGTGTCTCTGTCCCCTGCGTGGGATGGAGAGGCCACATCACTGCTGAGCCCACCCACACTCTCGCTGCCTCCAACACTCACCAGCCAAATAGGACCGAGGGAGAGATGCACTATTTAAACTTTCATCACTATTTTTCTCCCTTGCTCCCCTTGTTTCTTTTGATTTATTTTTCAGCGTGTTTTCCCCAGGCTGCCTGCATCTTTTTCCTTTCCCTCTGCCAGGTGGCTTCCAGAGAGTGCTCTGCATTCTGCAGGCTGCCCTCTGCCTCGCTCCATTGCCACCCTTCCCAGAGCACAGCAGGGACTGGGAAAGCTCTGGACTGCTGGGCACTCAAATACTGAGCAGCTCACAGGCAGGAATGCTCAGCAGATGTAGGATGCAAAGGGAAATCTGACTGACCCCATCTGCAGACTCAGTGCTGTCCCCCTGCTGTCAGGTCCCTTTTTTCCTTATCTGCCAAGCTCCTCTGCAAAGGAATTGCAATGCTAGCTCCATCTTTCTTCCCAGTGTCCAACTATTCCTTCTTATTCCCTTCTCCCAACCTTCCCCAGTCCATTTACCACAACCAGATGGACTCTCTTCCATGCTCATTTTATTTGGTAGAATGAAGGCAACCTCATTTGCTCCCACCCAGCAGGGAAGCAGCTCAGGTCATCCCTTGCTCCCTATTTTGGAGAGGGATGCATCTTCCCAGGAAACTGCAGGTCACACCCTGCTCCTTGCAGGCTGCAAGCCTGGTCCTGGAGCATGAGTTGAACCTGCAAGAGTTTGCTTTGCAGAATGCTCCAGCTGGCAAGCAGCTGCATGCAGATCAGGACGGTGCCCATATACGCTCACTCTGAGCGAGTGTAGCATGATGCCCTCATAAGCTTGACTTGTCTACAAGAGGCAAACATGCCTCCTTGACAAGCCTGCAGTGCACATCTGAATACACAAACACTTCTTTGTGCCAGAGCAAAGTCTCCAGGTCCCTCTGGCTGCCACTGAGGGCAGGCAGAGTCCTGAGGGTGGCACCCCGCAGTGAGCTGGGATGCTCATAGTGTGCTCAGACCTCCCGCTTCAGGGCTGGCAAACCGCTGCTTTGTGATCACTGCAGGCATCTGGCCTCACACAGAAACAGTGTTTCTGGCCTCACACAGAGCACTGAACACCACCCAGCCCTCCCTGAAGATGAGCAGCACATCAGCAGCCCTTCCCCAGGGAGGAGTTGGGCTCACAGCAGCTTGATATTCCTTCCAACGCGGCTCTCCTCAGGGGCCACTCAGCAGCTCCATCCCAGCACCAGGTGCCATCCCCAGCAGGAGCACTTTGGAAGGGATGCTGGCACTGCCCGCAGGAGGATTTGTGCACCCCAGCCCAGGAGCTGCCAGCAGCCACACAAAAAGGCAGTCGGCGTTAATTAGGAAGTGGCACTGGTGGCAGGAGGGCCTTTTGCTTTCCCTACTTGCAGGAGGAGACTCCTGCCTGCAGGATCTTGTTATCTCAATAAATATTGAGGGTAATTGAGGCTCCGTCTGCCTGCTGCAGAGCTGTCCAGCTGTCTGATGGCCAGCAGCACGCAGACACGGATGCTCATTCTTGGTCAGAGCAGTGTTAGCCTGGGGTACCAGCTCAGTGCTAGAGATTCTGTGTATTGCCATTGGTTAATCACAAAGGTAAAGCTTGCAGGCAGAGCTGCATGCAGGAAGGCTTCTAACTTAACTCACCAAGTGATGGAAGTGCTGTGCTTTGACAGAAAACTGTGGTTTTGATGACAGGAAGCTTAGCATGTTTTCTTCTGCAAGTTTTGTTTATGGTCAGAAAAAGAGCAGATCTCCAGCTTGAGGCTCTGGAGGTCTGCAGGTCCCTCCCCAGAAGGTCCCTTTGGAGAGGCCCCCATGCATTTCGTCCAGCTCTGCCTGTGGAGTGCAATGGTTGCCACAGCTGTGCTCTGCTCATCCATCCCTGTTCTTATTCCTCATAGATGTTCCAGGCATATGAAGGGTAACTCCCTGCTCTTTGCTGTCAGGACTGAGAAGCCCACAACCCCAAACAGCTCTTCCTATTTATATCCTGTATTAATCAGGAAGGCACTTCTACCACTGCGTGATTAAAAATTAGGAGGCCAGATTCCGTAGTGGTGCCTTATAATAACAACAGTCCTGGGAGCACGGGATGAATAATGGATCATGGCTCCGTGCTGCTGGCTCCTTGCTTCCCTTTATTCTTTCCCCTCTTCATCTTCTGTTCTTCTCTTTCCCCAGGCTGGAGTTGGGCAGGGGAAGGCATGCATCCCCCTTCGCTTTGCAGGAGTTAGGGCTGCTGGGAGACATTGCTGATTGCTGTCAGCAGCCCTTCTCCTCCTGTGCTTGGTGAGCCTGGTGACCATCGATAATGCAGGGCCATGTTTACCTGTGGATGAGAACCACTTGGGAAGAAGCAGCCAGGATCTGTTCTCTCCTTTTCACTTCCTCACCCCTTCAGCAGCTCCCAGGTCTCGCTCCTATTCCAGTGGGGAAACAGAAACAACACAGGTTGGAAAAGTGGTTTTGCTGGCATTGGGAAGTCACACCTGAGTGGGGCTGTGATGTCCCACAGGCTCCATCAGCAGCATTACAGTGGCACTGCAGAAGGATAATCTGGGTTGGAGGGAGCAGCCACTGGCAGGACATCACCCAGGAATGTCCAACATCCCCATGACAGCCCTTTCATTTCATTCTGAAAGGCTCTTCAGAGCAAGGCTCGTGAGCTGGGCTTCTTCCTTCTGCACAAGATGAGTTTCCAATATTTCACAAGCTGAGGTCAAATTCAATTAATAGCTTCAGTGAGGGGGAAAAGAACGACTGGAAGACATGTAATTCTTCTCTTTTTTTCTTTTTTTCTTTTTTGAAGGTGTATAAATGCATTCAGTGAAATGGCTGTTTTTAAAAGAGTGAAAGTACTTCCTTAGTAGTTAAACAGCATCAGAACAAAGCAGTTTCTGTATCCCCCTGTTCCAGGGCCTGGCGCAGTTTGACTAACCCCAAAACACAGATTTTCACATTTTTCACTCTTGTTGCCTGAGAAATACGCATTCAGGATCCATGTAGAAAAGCTTTTTTTCCTTCAGTTCTTGGGTTCCACCCGCTGAGCCGAAAAATCCCATTACTCACCAAGTTTGGCAGATGCCTGTGTGAGCAGCCTGGTGTGCAGGCAGCACGTCTGCTCACTGCAAGCCCTGCGCCGAGGCAGGCAGTCACCTCTGGGTTGTCAGAGAGCATAATACCCTTCCAGCTCCTCGCCGGGCCTGTGGGAGCCAACAAGGAGCTGTTAGGAATGTCCCTGGGCCAATGGAAGGGCACAGCTCAGTTTGGGCATCGCACGGCGCCAGCTGTGAGGTGAGAGCAGCCCAGCTCTGCGAACAGGGCCGGTGTGTGGAAGCATCTCTGCTCCAAAGAGCAGTGCTGCACTGCACAGCTGCGCAGGGGGTCATCCGTGGGGGTGTTCCAGGGGCACAGGGATGTGGGAGGTGGCAGTGAGCATAGTGGGGTGGGGATCTGAGAGGTCTTCTCCAACCCCCATGATTCATTTGGGAATGCTTTTTCCCCCTGCGCATTCCTGCACAAGATGGGAGCCCAGTCTCCCACCTTTTGCCATGCTAAGGTGCTGAGCTTCAAGGATGGTCCCCAAAAAGTCACTGTGCCCCTTATCTCCTTCTTCCCCAGCCGACACAGAGATGCTTTTGGCTGCGGTAGCAGACGGCTGTGCCCTGTGATGAGGATACAGCTCACACAGGCTGTCAGACCACGGCTGTTTCAAAGGCATGTTGAGATCTTAAACATCTCCTCGCCGCCCCCAGCAACGCCTGCTTTAAGGGATAGAGATGCTTGAAAGACTTGGCAGTGGTGAGCCTGAGCGAGAGGAATTTCACAGCCTTTTGTGCAGCCAGAGGGTGGCACAGAGGATAAAGTGAAAGCAAAAGGAGGATCAAAGCTGCAGGAGCATGCTCAGCACTGCTCTGCCCCTCCGTAATGAGGGCTGCCAGGGGAGCCCTGCTTGGGGCACTGCTGATGCTCACAGTAAGTGGGCTTTGACTTGAGAGTGTCCCGTGGGGATGGTGTCACGTCCCCATCACAGCCACTGACATGGCGTGAGCTCCCAGCCCTGGCAGCAGGTTTGTTTAATGCTCTCACGTCGTCACCTCCTTCACACCCGTCATGTCCTTGCCTTGCAGTTCCTCCAGATGACCCCATCATTATGGGGGGACCCATCATCAGCCTGAGAGCAGGGGACCCCCTCAACCTGACCTGCCACGCAGACAACGCCAAGCCAGCAGCCTCCATCATCTGGATGCGGAAAGGAGAAGTCGTCAATGGGGCCACCTACTCCAAGGTGAGGCAGTGCGTGCTGGGGACCATTTGCTCTTCCCTTGCTTCAAGAAGGGTCCTGGGGTCCTCTGTGCAGCCCCAAAGCCATCAGAGCAGCACCTTCGGCTCCGCAGCCTGTGTCGGCTCCGCAGCCTGTGTCATTCCATGCAGCATCCCCAGTGGTATGAAGATGCACCACCAGCTGGTGCTGAGGTGGGCTCTGCCCAGAATCTAGCTGGCTTTCTGCATGCTCACATTGCTTATACATCACCTGGAACACCCACTTCTGCCCCCCAGAATCCCATCTGGGTGTTATGCTTGTATTGCTCAAGGAGCAAAGCCAGCACTGACCGTGGCTGTAGCAGAAGCTCTGAAACAGAAGGGTTTTTTTCCCAGTGACATATGTCCCCGCCTCTAGCTGCAGTTTTCTATGAAAAATTGTCAGGGTTGTTGGCATTTTTTAATTTAAATGGAAAGCCTTTATTGGGTCATAAAGGAAAACATCAAAGAGCAATCAGCAGTGCACTCGGAATGGGTGCCCACATGTTCTCATGTTTATCAAAGCCTGATGCCTGGTAAGTGCTAAGGATTCAGGAACACTTGACATTTCTAATGAAAATTTCTAAAGCACAAAATGCAAGGCACAAAATGGGTCAGTTTACAGCCATTTGTAATACAGGCAACTTCAAAGTTCAGAGTGAGACGCATTCCTCTCCAGCTCCTGAAGACCTTTTTCATAAACATTTCTCCCCGCCACCACCATTCAGGCTCCTTCCAGCAACATCCCTGGAAAAAAAAAAGCCAAAATCTTCCCTTTAAGCCCACACCTCAGTTTACATCTTTCTGGGTTTTTTTTTCCTAATGAAATTAAAATCCAACCCAGATTTCATTTGATCCGGATATTCCACTCAACCAAGAAGACACACTGCTCAGGTTACTGATAGCCTGAAACCATTTGCTCCAAGTGAGAATTCCTTTTTTTCCTCTGTGTTTCAAATCCAGCTGATTTGTATTGCAGCCTCAGTGCAGTCACAGCCGGGCAGCACAGATGAGGCACAGCTGACTTAAAGACCCCAAAATTCCACCCTACTGGAGGGGACAGCAGGTAGCACCTAAAGCCACCTCTTTACATCTCCGTGTCCCTTCACAGACCCTTCTCCGCGACGGCAAGAGGGAGAGCATCATGAGCACCCTTTTCATCGCCCCCTCTGACATTGAGAACGGGGAGAGCATCGTCTGCCGTGCCACCAACAAAGCCATCCCCAGTGGGAAGGAGACCTCAGTCACCATTGACATCCAGCGTGAGTAGCGGCCAGCAGCCGGTCCGTGCCACCCAGCCTCCATCACAGGAATGGGGATGGAGGTTTCCTACCACTGATGCAGAGGGGTCATGGGAGCATCACAGAATGGCTTTGGTTGGAAGGGACCTTATAGATCATAGAACCATAGAACAGTCGGGTAGGAAGGGACCCAACCCCTGCCATGGGGCATCATGCTGCACAGGGCCTATCCGTGGCCTTGGGCACCTCCAGGGATGGGCGTTCACAGGGGTGGATGACCACCCCGTCCTCATAAACCCCATTTTGCAGCTCCCTTCCCACCTCTGCAGCAGCTGCTGCTCTCAGGCACGCCCTGACCCTTCTCCAGCCGGGCTTCATTAACACACACAATTCCTCCAGCTGTATTTACCAACCATTTGCAAATGCAGGGTGCTCAATATTAGCATGCCAGCTGCTTTCCAGGGTCCAATTAAAACTGCCTGAACAAACTCAAGCACAGCAGAAAATTCACCATTTAAGATTTGCAGCTTTTTGCTGCCGGAAGATTAACGGGCTCTTGGGTCTCTGTATAGCATGTCCTGACAGAAGCGGGCAGATAAAATGAGATAATAGCACGGGTTATTTCACAGCCTGCAAACAGTGACAGTAGCTGGAGATGCACGTGCGTTCTCACAAGCAACACAGAGCCAGAGACATCATTAGGCCGTGCAGTGCAGTGCAGGAGATGTGAGCTGCATCCCTGAGCCTGACGGGATCTGATGTAAAAGGACCCAACAAGGAGCACCAATTTCCACTCTGAGCCATTAAATACTGCGTGCTGAGAAAGTAATAATAATAATATCCTATCTGGCTATTAAAAGTATGTTGTTCTTAATGGGGTCTAACGAGGATATCGGTTTCCCAAGGCTGTCTGGGTGTTGGAGGGGTAAGAAAACACCGGCATGGATTAAGCAGCCTGCACTCTGCTAAGAGGTGTCTGGGTTTGTGTCCTGTGCAGCACAAGGCTGGCTCCCTTCAGTCCTTCATGGGCACTGCCAGTCTTAGCCTGGGCAGCAGGGAAAGAGCTGAGTCATAAACACCTTCACCTTCCAAAAAAAAACAGAAAAGAGAGGAAAAGGAACCAAGGAAAAAAAAGAAAAGCCTGAGTCTGTAATGGAAACACTAAGCAACTCCAGCTGGAACATCTGTTCAATGTGATTTCTGTTCCACCAGCCACATCAAAGTCAGCCTCCTGTGAGTTATGCACCGAACATCACAAGTGGGATTAAAATCGTGTTTAATAGTTTGATATGCCATAAACTATTTATACTGCCAGAGCCCAGTGGCTCTATGGAAATTCATATCCAGCGTGCTGGGATGGGAGGAGCAGGGTTATTGCTTATCCAAAGCCATTTGCTCCAAGCCTACACGTGCGTGCACTTACTCATTTTTCCACCTTCGTTTCACGGCAAGAAGGGATTCGAGCAGGTCCACGTTTGGGTTGTGGGCAACTCGCTCTGCTGGCGCTTCTCAGCCTGGCGGTGCAGCAATGCGTTCCCTTCCACGCTTTCCACCAGAGATGAGGGCTGGAGGCACCACAGGCTGCTTCCAGCTCCTCCTGCTGCTGCCTCGCACCCAGCACGGCTCCTCCGTGCAGCGCAGCGCCGGCCGTGGCTCTGCAGCGCCGGGTCGGTGTGCCGGCAGGGATGCGCGCTTTCCCCCGGCTCTGATCCCATTGCTCACATTAATTACAAGAAGCCGGGCAGGACTTCTGACTCTAACCGAGTGGAATTACGTCCCGATGAGTGACTGTTCGTCTCTTTTCTTTTTCCCTGTAAAATACCCCCAAACATTCACTCACACCGATGCTCCTCGCTGTGGTACTGGGGAGCCCGAGCCCATTTGTGAAAGGGAAGATCAAAGACTTTAATTCATTTCCTTCGCTCCTTCTCTTTTTTAATCTACTTTTTTTTTTTATTTGGAGTGTGAGGAGGGAGCCGGGCTCATTTTAATACAAAGAGGCTCCTCTGTAAATCGTAGGCGCAGCCACTAAACCATCAAACAATGGGGAAGCTACTAAAGAGAAGTGTGATTCATACTTAACAAAGGAAGGTGATTAGCTGTTGTTGTATAACAATGGGGAAGTGTCAGGATGCCGGCGAATGAATTAGGAGCACGCTATATATCTCTGGGCTGTTATGTTAGTGAAGCTCATTTATATTCCCAACTGCACCCATCTTTATTGTGATTTGAATTGCACATTTTAAAATGAGATTAGGGTAAATTGAAAATACCTATAATTTCCCGTCATAATTTCCCATCAGAAAGGCAGGTGGCTCTGCTGGCAACAACTCAGGGCTCCGGCTGGGTAAATTGCCACAGGGTCATGGGGACGCAGTGCAGAGTGGCACCCAACGCTGCAGGGGTGTCAGTGAGGATGGGGCTGGAGGGGTCATGAGGATGGGGGCGGAGGGTAGAGGTGGCAGTCCTGTGTTGCCCCGTGGAGTTTTTCTTCCCTTTAATGAGCTCTCGTTCTCCCTACCTCGAGCTGGAGGTCCACCACCCCCCCGAGACACCAGGAGAAATTAAAATTGTTCTGGATATTCTTATTATCCATCTCAGCGCTGCACCCTTTTCTCACTTGCTTTCATCAGTTCTCTTCTAAATTTTGTTTGCTGCTAAAGCACTCGGATGCTTATCTTGTAAAAGGAAAAGAGAAACAGAGCGGCAGCCGGGAGAACCGAGAGGCCTGTGACACCAATAAGGACTTGGCAGAGATGATTAGGCTGATGAAAGAGCAGAAATGCCACTTTCAAGCTAGCGGGTAGACAAAAGATCATCATTACCCAGCAAGATATTAAATGGGAACTCTTCAAAGCGGGTTGATTTCCTTAAACGGGAATCAGAGCCTGTGCTAATGGTTTTGAAGGGAGGTTCTGTGTCAAGCAGCGCGTGGCGTGGCAGCCGGGAGGGAGCAGCTTGGGTTGGAGCAGGGATTGGAGGCTGTGAGGAGAGGAGCCCCAGAGCAACAGCACAGCCTCGTGTGGCCCAAAGGGGTCTCACAGCCCACTCTTCTATGCCCTCAGAGCTTCAGTGCTGCCCTGCCTTTTGCCTTCCACGCTTGGACGCATGATGGGCTCATCCCTGTCTCTTTGCAGACCCCCCCCTGGTGAACCTGTCTGTGGAGCCACAGCCGGTGCTGGAGGACAACACCGTCAAGTTCCACTGCTCTGCCAAGGCCAACCCCGCTGTCACGCAGTACAGGTAAGGCAGCTCACCGTCACCTCGCCCCGGGAGGAAAAACAAGGTAAAATTCATGGGTGGAGATAAAGTGAGCTCGATAGCACAATATAGCGGATATGTGGAACAGGTGATGCACGATGCAGTTGCTCACCATGCGCCAAGCGAAGCCCAACCAGTCCCCGAGCATCAGCAGCCCCTTCCCAGACAACACCCCCCAGTTTTACTGCTCAGCATGATGCCCTGCAATATGGAATGTCCCTTTGGCCTGGTTGGGCCAGCTGTCCTGGTTCGGTTCCCTCCCATTATGCACCCCCAGAATGATCAGGGTGCTATGAGAAGCAAACCCAAAGCACAGCCCCACACCGCTAATAGGAAGAAAATTAACTCCATCCCAGCTGAAAGCAGGACAGAGGCCTGGCACGGAGCTGGCAGAGCCATCTGTTTGGGAATGTAATGAGAAAAATGAGTGAAAAATCTATTATGTGAAAATTGGAAAATGCCTTTCCTTTGTGCACACTCTTTTGTGGTTTGAACAATACCACTGCAGTGCCATCAGTGGGTACTCGAGCAGCCGCGTGCAGCCCAGCAGAGCTCGGGAGGGAGGCGTGGGCTGGAGCTGCACTTTGGCACTGGAGAGGCCAAAAAGAGGAGAATCAGAGGGGGAGAAACATGGACAGAAGGTGGTGCAGGTGCTTCACAGTCGGTTCAAACAGCCAGTGCTGGAGGGAGTGATGAGTAGGGTGCACCGTGGCCGTGCCCTTCCAGGCAGGCTGTACCATTGCAGAGGGAAGCAGGGCTGGCAGTCAGGTGCACATGTAGGCAATCTGTGATGTTTGTGCACCAGCGTGGGTTTGTAGCAGCAGAGGAGGCTCCTCTGGGGATGGGTTACATCAGAGATGGGTTACACTGTGGATGGGTTACCGTGACCCAGCTCCTGTTGGACATGGACACCTTAATTGGTACAATTGAGTTTGCTAGTAGGAACAATTCCTTCCGGCTGGATCTCTGCTATCAGCACAACAAAGCAATAATTGCATTCCTAGTTACACAGAAGTTATTAATTTCTGAAGCCAGTGAATGTCAAAGATACAAATGGCCCTGTTTTCGTATTTACCTTTGAGGAGGGGAAGCAGACAGGCTATCCTAGCACCACGCACAGCCCTCCCTGTGCCCTCCATCCCATCTCACAGCCCCATCCCATTGCCATCCCTGGGGCTGCTGCCTGCTTTCAAAGCATCAAAGGATCATTAAGGCTGGAAGAGACCTCCCAGATCCAGTGCCCACATCCCTCAGTGCCACATCCCTGCAGTTTTGGTGCAGCTCCAGGGGGTGACCCCCCCAGTCCCTGGACAGCTGTGCAGTGTAGTGCTGCTCTTTTGGAGAAGAAATGTTTCCTTTGCTGCAAAGTAATTCATTTCCTGATGGGTCTTAGTTAATGGCACATTTTTTGGGTTATTTTTTCCCATAAAAGCTTGGGTTGGTTTGGGTTTCTTCAAAAAAGAAGAGGAGGCATGAAAAATTCAAGCACTTTGGGCTTTTGATTTCTTAAGTTCCCCTAACATGTTAACATCACACACGGCTTTTTCCCTACCACTGTGACAAGCAAACAGGATTCAGCAGCGCGCGGCGGGGCTTCCTTCCTCCTAATGGCTCTGATTGATCAGGGCAATTCGTTTCCCTCCCCAAAGACCCCATAGCCCTCCACTTGTTTCATCAAGACAACAGAATCCTCAGCATCAAACCTCAGCACGGGATATCCCAGCTGGGAGGAGAGAGGAGGATTTAAGGCTTTAGCATCGCGTGGCAGCGGGAGGCAGGAGTCCATGGCTCAGGGGCACCCCAGGAAGAGCAGAGCAGGAAAGCCCTGCACCAATTGCCATGCACCAGGAGCTGCAAGGGTGGGAAGCGTGAGCCAGGTTGAGCTTAGTCTGCCTTAAAAACAAACATGGAGAAATACATTGGGAACAGAGAGGAAGAGAGGTGGATTTCCCCCCCTGGAAAGAAGCAGGCTGATATATTTCCTTCCTATGGTTTCCCCCTCATCCTCAGATAGAAATATCAGATCGTGGTCGGCAGTCGGCATTTATTTTTAATACCTCCCAATATGTTTGTCTGTAAACAGCTCTGAACACAAAGGAAAATGTCTAAACACCATAAATCCCCTTTTCTGGGCATAAATCCATAGGCAGCGCCGTCCATGCTGTGAATACACGAGCAAGCTGCCCCCTCACTCTGCCTTTACATGGGAGAAGGACAGTCATGCAGTGCCACTGCCACGTCCCCTGCTGCATGGGACACGGGGCTGTGCTGAAGGACCATAGGGGGCATCAGCAGGGGACATAGAGGTCTTTGGTCTACCTGGCATTGTGCACCACATATGTTGCTTACAGAATCACAGAATGGCCAGAGTTGGAAGGGACCTCGAGGATCATGAATCTCCAACCCCCCTGCTGCATGCAGGGCCACCAACCTCCACACTCAGTACTAGACCAGGCTGCTCAGGGCCCCATCCAGTCTGGCCTTGAACACCTCCAGGAATGGGGCATCCACAGCCTTGCTTAGCTCCGGGGCTCCAAGCTGCTCCAGCACAGCATTTCCCACCCGAGCTGCCGAAGGATTCCTTGGCACCATTTCCACAGACCATCCCTCAAGGTGCCCAAGGCCACAGATGAGGCTCTGGCAGTTTGGTGTGGGGGGCACAGCCAGCCCATGGCAGGGCTGGATCTGGGTGGGCTGTAAGGTGCTTTCCAACCCAACCATTCTGTTTCCATCCCATGATCCCATGACCTCTCCCGTCTGTTTCAGCATCACTGCTGGGCTCTGCACACCTAAAGGCTGTCGGGCAATTTCCTGGCTTGCTCCTGCTGCAAGCCAACGGGCAGGAACGGGAAGGCAAGAGAGTAATTAGCTGTCGCTGTGGCTCTGCCACCTGTGATGGCGAATAAAATTAATGGAAAGCAACACAAGTCAGAGCAACGTGAAGCGACTCACAACCAGGCCTCCTCTTTGCTCACTTCAGATCTCTCCATTTGCCAATCTTCCCTTGGCTTTTGATGTCTGCTGTGTGTCCGTGGGGTGTTTTTTTTTGTTTTTTTTTTGCTGTTATTATTTATCACTTGCAGTAAGAAAGAGAATCTTTAAGATGGCAGAAGAAAATGGGAAAGTTTAATATTGCAAGAGGCAGAGTCCCTCAGCCTTTTGGGCTTCTCTGATGATGATGATTATTTTTGCAGTGATGGTGAGCAGCTGTAGGCAGGGCAGTAATAAATGCCTCACTCTGGTGCACTGATGCAGCACTCTCATCCTCAGGGCTAGCAAACATCTCCACACAGTGTTCTTTTCTGAAGATGGGGCATTTTGAGCCACCCTCCTGCACCACTTGCCGGGCTGGGGTGCAGGGTGCACTTCCCCATCCTATAGCCGAAGGGGGGCTGTGTTTGATGCGGGCCAAGCGATCTCCCTCTGCCTACATTGGGCTGAATTTGAGTGCCCAAATGGACAGAGCCCCTCCTGCATCCCCACTGCAGGTCAGGGCTGGGCTTTCCCATTCCCCACACCTGGGCTGGCAGCAGGGGATGGGGAGGGAGCGATGTTTGTTTGTTCGCTCAGCGGGCTCCGCTCTGCAGAAAGACCTTTGTGTTTGGAAAACACCGTTTTATCTTTGAATCAACAGCACGCTGTCACTCATCAAATATTAATCTGAACTCAACTGCTTTTTAAGAGCTTTTCTTTAAAGGCAGTGGGGCTTGAATGCACCCAGTGGGAGACAGTGTCCTGCCTTGAGCAGGGAAAACAAGAAGAGGCGACTTGCTGTGCTTGCAAAGGGGCAAGCAGGGAGACACTGCTCTGAGGGTCTAAATGCAGGTCTTGGTGGGGAAGGGTGGCAGGTTTGGTGGGGTTTGGATAGATGTGGAGTGGTGGCAATGCTGAGTCACGGCCTGAAGCATTGATGGAGCACATGGTGGGAAGGCAGGGCCAGCCCAGGGCAGCTCAGGTGCATGCAATGCATGGAGTGATGGAAGGGCTGCAGCCAGGATCCACCCCTTCCCAGCCCCCATTTAAGGGCTGGCAGTGGAGGCAAGGGGATCTCTGATAGGAGATCCCTGCCTGCCTGAGGTCTTCTGAAGGTAAGCAGCTCTTTTTCTTCATTTCTGCACCTGTGTGCAGTGCTTTTGTGTCTGCAACCGCTGCACTGAGCATATCCTCACTTGCTGCAGTCTGGGACTTTGCTGCTCTGCTATCATTGCTGTGCATTCCACCATGTTACAGCATTTTGTGTGGGAGAGCTGCTTTTGGTATCTGTGGGCTCTGAGAAGAGCAGGAGAAAATCAAGAGTATCTCACTGTGGTTATTCATAAAATAGAAGACAGAGAAGTCAGGTTTCCCAAGAATGGGCGCCCCACGCTTAGAAGCCACACCACCACAGCTTGGATTTAACTGAGGTGGCTCCAGCCCAGCCCTGGTGGCTTGGCATTGCTCAGCTCTGTGCACTCAGTGACAATTATGCTGCTGAGTGGCAGCAGGTCACCAAGAAGCAAAGCCAGGAGCACATCAGAACAGGGAGAATTTTGCCACATGATGAGGAATAGAGGGGTCTTCAGGAAGAAAGAGTCTGGGGAAGGGTTTTCTGCTGCCAGGATCGCACAGTTAGAAGAGTTACTGTGTGGGCATGAGGAGTAGATCTCTCTCCATAGCTCCTTTAATGGATTACACTGTGTCTTTGCTCTCAGGTGAAGGCATGGATTCAGATAGCTTGGAAAAATGTCTCCTGGGAGCTGGGTGCTTGCTGACTTTCTGCTGCCCTTTTAGACAAACATCCCCATGGTCTGACGTTCCTGAGTGCTTCGTATTGCTGAGAATGTACCATGACTGGCACCTTCCTTTGTCTTCCCAGCTGCCTCTGTCAATTAAGGGAGATCTGCAATATTAAGCTTGTATTAAATGCCAGCCACATCCCTATTACTATTTAAAAGGGGCTGTCAGGCCTCAAAATGTGCTGCAGAGTAGCCAGCAGGGTAAGT